TTAATTCAGAATTTTCGCATTAATATTAACAGGTTATAAGAATTTTAGAACTTTGGTATCAGGGTTACCTTGACCTGCGCCACTATCGGACTAATGAAGTTTAGTATATGAAATCGCATACACCTGAATTATTCGATAGTGTCATGATATGCCAGATGTGGCTTAGCAAATGTTTACCATTTCCCAGCTCTGAAACCCAACCTCGAAATATTTGTTTATGTCGCCTCGAGTTGCTTCTCCGCACGATGTTGTGGAAACAATTGCCATTTTTAGGTGTGAAACAACGTTAGAAGCTCTTCTGCAAGCCCAAAACTACAAAGGATAAAGCTTTCTAACGCTTTGCTGGTTGTACTTGCTAAGAAGATGAGAAAATATTTTTTCCCTGCGCCTATGACACCGACTAGCGTTCTAAAAACGATGAAGCCATAAAATATTTTCTGAAATATTGATGTTGAAATCTTAAAAGTCCCGTCTAGGATTAGTAAGGTGTTACCCACAGTTGCGTGTGGCGCTGGTCGACATCACAAACGGAGGCCGCCATTCGCTATGTTGGTCGCGCATGGCCACGGATAGACTAACCTAACTTGGTATTTAGTGCCAGTCTCTGACCACCTGCGGCCGTTTCAGACCCCAAATTAGTCGATTTATGCTTCCTCTGTTCCGTTGTTTCATTGGCCTCTAGACGGCGCTTGAATTATTTTTATTGTAAAATATGATTGTGGGACCATATATCTATATATATAGGCTTCGAGGTCTCGTAGATCGATTTTATATTCCATCCAAACATCACATAATTTGAGCCTTTCTTGCCTGGAGCAACTTTATTTCGACTAAGGAACTGGTTTCCGTATCATCCAATTACTTTCACTTCATTTCAATTCATTTCGACCCATTTTTAATTTAAGCCTTCAAAAAGATATCTTCTAATTGGCATATATTTGGATATCTTACCCTTTTAATATATTATAAAAATGCATTTCATCAGTGCCAGCGTCTTGTCTCTATGTGTCGCTACAACCATTGCTGCACCGGCCCGCATCAGTCGGTAAGTTCTTAGTATTCACCAACTATCTACATCATTGGTGCCGAAGGCTAACAATTCGTGACAAGGCGGTCGGTTCCAAATGGCTCACAGATGGCTTTGGGCGATACTATTGATCGCGTTAATCGAATCTTCGTGGATATCCCAGTAACACTCATAGTGGTTATTGAAGGTGAAATCGGTATGTTTCTGTCATGTATCCGCCCTTCCCGTGAAAAGACGGATGTTAACACAAAATTTTTCCAAAAATAATTTAGGCGCCCCTGCAAGTGCAGTCAAGTTCTCTCGCTTTTCAGATTTAGATAGCGATGTATCAGAGAAAGTCCGTCTCGCGGTGGACTTGAAGAGTCTCAAAGTTGCTAGAAAGGATTCGGGGTGTGATTTTGCTTTCTCGAAAGAAAGGAAAAGCGATGATGAATATATCTACGGTTACGATCCCGAGGAGAGAACAGCGGTTTTCCGCAAAGAAGAGACTGGTTTGTGGAGTGTAAGATGCGGGTGGTAGGTTAAGCCTAACTCTGATATGGTATTAACAGAATACTGATAGATTACTCATAGCGCATCAATTTCCTCGACTAGTACACCAAGCAGAACGCCCGAGAACATTAGTGAGACGCTAGAGGAGGAAGTAGAGCCCACCCCTGAGAAGGTTGAGGAGGTGCCAGAAGAGGAGGTCGAGTCCACTCCTGAGAAGGTTGAGGAGGTGCCAGAAGAGGAGGTCGAGTCCACCCCTGAGAAGGTTGAGGAAGTGCCAGAAGAGGAGGCAGAGTTCACGCCTAAGCACGTGGAAGAGCTATCGAAAGCACTTGAGGAGATGGTGGAAGAGCAAGAACGAGATTTGCAAAAGGAACAAGGCGAAACGAAAGAAGTCACTGAAGAGATAACGGAAGTAACCACAGAAGTTGTCACAAAAGTCACTACAAAGGTCACTACGGAATTCACGGTAAAAAAGTCAAGCGACGGAATTATCGAAGAAACTAGCGAGAAAACTATCGAGGAGGCATCCGAAGGAGAACCGGGTTCGGCTGTGAAGCGCAGCATTGAATCTGAAGAAGACAACTCTGAGGGTAAAAGCCAGAGGGTTGCTGTCAACGAATTTGATATCGAGATCATTTAAACCTCTAAGCTAGGAAGCTTATAGCCACCCCAACTCTAACTCGGTTCTTCATGTTTTTTTCTATATTGCTAGGAGTATTCGTTGTACTATATATATTTCCTTAGATGCCATAGCCGTTTAACCTTTATGAATTTATGATGATATGTTCAAACAACTTTTTTCTTTGATTTCCCCATAAAAAAAAATCATTCCGATAGAAAGAACTAGGTGTGCATATTGAGGTATAATATCACTCTATTGATGATAGTTTTTCATATGATCATGTGGCTGTGGCGAGGGAATCCGCCAGAACTATAAGCTTGTGAGGCTATACTAACGTTAACTTCGTATGCCGACAGCAATACCCGACAAAATTCAGTTGAACCAACAGCACTATAACACTAAATTTCCAAAGGCGAAGGAAAGCCATGAGGGATATATAACGATATAGCGGTTGAGCTCCGCCAAGCCATTGACAATGGCTTGGATAGAATTCGAGGCAATGCCAAAGTGCTAAGTTGTTGGATATAACGTTATGAGTTGGTCGGCGTTGGGAATTCCGATCTTGGCTGCGCCTCGAGCGCAGTGGTCGTACGAAGCAAGAGAACGAGAATTTCAACGAAGGGAGTCAGCGACAAGATATTCATCATGAACTCAGCCTACTCATGAAGCCCTGGGATATCAGAGCGCAAATAATCGACCCAAGGATCGATGTTTTCCCTGTTTCAAGCTCCCGTTTGGAACGCAATAGACGCCAACCAGGTCGCCTGTGGGGCACAGCATGGGTGGGAAACCTGCGAGGCTCATCGTGCTCAGGATATGCGTTATATTGCTAGGTATAGGTATTGCTGTTCAACAATCAGTCGATATCGAACGTTAATTAATAGGTGGAGCTTAGACCGGGTGGCAACCGATTCCAAGGGGCCTGGATTAGCTAAGCCGCAAAGCGTGATGTGAATCGGTTTTGCGGTAAATCGGAAGCTTCGAAAAGGGTTCGGTAGAGGCTTGGCGTCAGTGATTGGTGACGGCTTGTGTGAACCGAAGCTTTGCATGCGATGTTTGGGCATCTAGAAGACAACGTTATGAGCACAATATGCGACTGGTGACGACATATCGCGACCAAAGCCATAGCGCCATGGCTTTCTAACACTAGCACGGTAACTAGCACACTTTCTATAAATTGGGCATATCTTCCCCCAAAATCTTTTTGTAATTCGTAATAATATTCATTTACATTCAATACAGTACAAGTCTACACCCAAATATCAACATATCTAAAACCCACCAGTAACGCGCAAGTTGATTCAATTTCTTATTTCGGCGGGCAGAAGGCAAAATGAACTCTCAATACGAAGATCAGTATGCGTGGGCCGCTCCCCCACCGAGCTATCACGACACTACTAGTTCTCGTGCTGGTACCTCACGACCCTCAACTTCCGGAACCGGAGCCAGCTATCCTGCCGATGTCAAGGAGGACCTTCAGGATACCGAAAGCACAACAGGAGTACCCCAATTACCGGGTTATTCGACCTATACCGTCGAGTTCGCTAAAAACAGTTTTCACATGGACTATTTGATCAAAGATGCTACAGATAAGCCCTTTTTATACGTCGATAACAAGGCTTTCCCAGCAGCATTTCGCGGCGGGAAGCCAGATGTTATAGTACACGAAGGCGGTGATAACACCGGCCCTATTGTATTTGCATCGCGGAGTAACGTCATTGGAACTTGCCATGAGATCTGTTTTGGTGACCCGGCTCTGAGCCCTCACTATACTGAATTAAAATTGAAAAACTGGGTCTCTCTGACAACCACATGGTCACCCCCTGACAGCGAAAAGAAATATAAGTTCGAACGAATCTATGGGAAGGAAGCCGAAATCCTAGGAGGCCGAAGAGCGAGCATGCTAAGTCTCAAGCTTACCGATGTCGAAACCGGCGAGATCATGGCAACATACCTCAATGACGGATTTAAGACGTGGCGAAGGGCCGGAACATACCAAATCAAACGCAACCCAGAGATTGGAGATGAGTGGGATAAGTTCGTTATTTGTGTCTGTGGAGTTTTGACAGAGAAGGAGCGGAGGGCTAGAAGATGGAGGTCTCACGGCTGTGGTGGCGGCGGGCCTTGACGGGCACGTTTCCTTCTGAAGAGTAGCATTTGCTAACTTTTTCGGTACAGAATAACCCCCCTTGCATGCATTATCGTTCAGATTCTCGCCATCGGCGACGGGCGCTTTGGGATGAAAATTTGGAGTTATGATTGGGGTATTAGGTTACTTGAGGGGTCACTAGTAATATCATTGTGCACGGATTCGAATTGGGGTAGTTGGCTCGTTTTTGTATTGTGTTCGCAAATTTGGATTTCAGCATACGCATACTTTTGAAAATCGCAGTTAGTCGGTGCACAGATGAATCTTGTTATACGTATTTAAAATATATTGATATACTTGTATCGTGTCGACTTCGAGTTCGGAATTTTCATATTGACTGGGACATTTTGTAAACTTGATCTCCTATAGGGCTAGCCGTAGATTTTCACGAGTTTGTTCGGTAACGGTGACTACTCTTCGGATGAGTATACTCCATGGTGCTGAGGCTGTGCCACACAGCTTACCATAAATTGATCTAGAGCCATACATGTATGCGGGACTCTTGAATTTTCAATAGAATACTAGAGCTAGATATAGCCTCGAATCCAAGCTAGATACTAGTATACTCTTGCACTGCAGTCAATGCCAAGGAATTAAAACTTAAAGAAACCCTAACTAAAAATTCGCTAATTGCCCTGACCTGCGAAAAACGAAGTTCAGATACCTGACTAGCTTAGAAGGTTCCAAAAATTAAAAGAAGAAGAAGCGAACGACCATAGCAGAACTCGAATCTGCAACCTCTGCTTCACTGGACCACAGAATATGTATGATCAGACAGTAGGAGAGCAACGCGCTACCATTGCGCCATATGGCCTGCTTGTGTAACTTTGGCTGCTACGGATCTGCAGAATGGGTGAGTGGAGATGGTCCAAGTTGGGACTAGATCTGGATCAGTGTGCAACACAGGCTGTTGGCTCTGGCTGGACCTGTCTACAACACAAAGCCTTCGCAAAATCCAACAGTTCCCTTAACTAGTACGTTACTCAGGTCAATACCAGAGAGGAGCTTAAGGGTCGAGTTTGCTACGTGGGTGGGTGGGTAGTAGAAATCTCTCTTAAAAGGCAAAAGTAGCCAAGGCCTCGAAAAACCAGTGCTGTGCTCACTATAAATCTTACAAAAAGAAGAACGAGGGCTGTATGTAATGAGTGTGTATAGAATATGCATTAGGTAGTTGTATTATACATGAGAATCATGATTAAATTCGCATTAATGCTATGTGAGAAATAAAAAAAACCGTACCCCGCCGTCATCCGTTTTTATATATACCAATTATCCCCGCCTCATAGACTCCGGAAAACTCAAATTTACAAAGCAGCGAGAGCGGCAATAGCAGCGGCGCCAAAGATGGCGAATCCGCTGGAAACGAGGGAGTTGGCGGCACCGGTGTACTCTGGTGGTGGTGGCTGCATCGGATGTTAGTACATACTCAAGTCTATATAGACTAATCATGGGGAACTTACAGCAGCAGAGGTCTGGTTGCCGGATCCGTAGGTAGGAGTGGGTCCTTCAACGGAAGTTCCAGTTGGAGCAACATAGCTAGTAGTGACGCCTATATTTGAGTAAAAAACATTAGCTCGTATTCAGAATCCAATAACAAACACGCGCACCCAGATTCAAGGCGTACTGGTATAAGTGACAACGACCGACGAATAAGTCGGATATACACCAGTAGTCGTCTTGATTGTGGTGTACTCATACGATGGTTCGTATGAGGATTGGTGTGGGGGTTCGTAGGACGATGGAGCATAGGTTGGGTGAGACGAAGGCTTGGAGGATGAAGGAGCATAGGTTGGGTGCTCATATGTTGGGTGCTCATATGTTGGGCTCTCGGGCTTGTATGTAGATTCAACAGTGGTTTCACATGTCGAAGACTTACTTGTTGCAATTGTGGTAGGGTTGTAGGTAGGAGCTGTGGTAGGGTTGTAGGTGGGAACTGTGGTAGGGTTGTAGGTGGGAACTGTGGTAGGGTTGTAGGTGGGAACTGTGGGGTTGTAGGTAGGGGGGTTGTAGGTAGGGTTGGTTGGTTCAACAGTCGGTTCTTCTGTCGAAGACTCACCAGTAGGTTCAGCAGTGGGCTCAGCGGTGGGCTCAGCAGTTGGCTCAGCGGTGGGCTCCTCAGTAGGCTCAGCAGTAGGTTCCTCAGTAGGTTCAGCAGTAGGTTCCTCAGTTGGCTCAGCGGTTGGCTCTTCAGTTGGTTCAGCAGTGGGCTCAGCAGTTGGCTCAGCAGTTGGCTCCTCGGTTGGTTCCGCAGTTGGCTCTTCAGTTGGCTCAGCGGTTGGCTCCTCGGTGGGCTCAGCGGTTGGCTCTGGCTCATCAGTGGTAGTTGGCTCTGGCTCCTCAGTTGGCTCTGGCTCTGGCTCAGCAGTGGTGGTGGCTGGTGGTGTTGTGGTGGTAGTGTCGACACCACCGGGGATCTCACCACCGGCAGAGATGGCTGGTGGAACGTCTGGTTGCTTTCCAGAGAGTGGGGTGGTCGAGAGACCACAAGCCTCACCGGCAACGCTCAAAGTGAATCCGTAGTACCTCCAGATGTTGTAGTTGTCAGGGCCGGAGCACTGCAAGCAGTTGGCATAGTTGTTATTGAAGGCATTGTCTTCGCAGTGGTTATCACGGCGGGATGCAGTAATAGCCTGACCTGAATACGGAAATGACGAGTCAGTATACTCATGTTACACAAGAGCTTAGTCAAGAGGTAAGACTTATAACACATACCGCAGTTGTCGTGGCAGTTGTAAGCTGGAGTACCAGGGGCCTGACGCTTGAGGAGCTTCAAGTGCCATTCATCGTCCATGATAGCGACACCAGCGACACCCTGAAGGGCGAGGGCGCCAAGGAGGATCAACTGAGCATTAAGCATGATGACTTATTGGCGCAAGGCAGCAGTAGAATACTAGATGACTTTTAGGAAGGTTGATATTAGATCGAAATCTGCGATTAACGAGCGGAAATCCTGCTAAAAGTGTCACTACAATTGCGATAGCGAGTGAATGTGATTCTGAAGTGAGGGGGGAAAGAATCTAAGAACAGGTACTGTGAGGTCGCAGGACTCGACTTATAACGTCCCAAAGGTACTGCTACACATCGTGTCCAGCGCGCGCTAGACCAGGCCCCTGCATCGAAGCGCATGTATTTTTCACCCTTTAGCCCGCAATAATTTTGAACGCTGGAACGACGGAAGGAGCGATGTCGGAAATTGGGGGTCCGTCGAAGCCCAAAGAGCGAGTGAAGCCTCCAACTTTGTGTCATACCCAAGACATTTTGGTTATTATCGCATTGCATGCATGCATTGACAGCTTCCAAGACTCGCTGGACCAGTCGGACTATAACCCACCCGAACGGTGCCTGTGAGAAAAGAGTGGAAAACTCTACTCAATTTGATAAAACCAGCCATCGACATGGGGCCCACCTGTGGTCCAAACGTGGGAGGTTGCATAGTCACAAACTTTGAACCGACCCTGGAATCTTGGCTGGCCACCGCTGGCTGGATTTTCCAACTTTTGCGGTGTTGTCCGCACCAATTCCAACGTTCCGTTGCTTCTTCCTAGCGGATCTGATAAGATGGTCTGATCCTGCTAGCGACTTGGCAGTCTTGGTATTATTCCGTGTCAGCCGGATCAGATTAGATTTCAAGGGTTGACAGTGGGATTGCAAAAGTACCTCCACCCAAGTCACATTTTTCAGAGGAGTTCCCTCGATCTGATAACGAGTGGCAGGCAAAGATGTGGGCTAGCAAGGGCATTGGGCAACTTGGCAAAAGCCGGAAAGTGAAAATTTTCCAGTATGGCGTGCCTAAAGCGCCTGCAAAAAGTTTTCCATGATCAAATGTACCCCACTCGGCTGCAAGAAACATTTCGGGGTATCACCAATCAATTATCTAATCGGTTGATCAGATTAGATGGGAGAGGCTTTCGGGCAGGTGTCATTGCCATATTTTCGGACTTGTGACAATTGACTAACAGAAAAAACAGCCGGCACGAGTTATAACACTACCAACACAGAAAAACACCATGCCGTTTTGCAAATTTGCAAGTTCCTGACTGGACGCTCGGAAATAGGCAATGGCCAATGCGCACTCCTTTGAAGCCCTAGGATAGTACGGCTGGATGTACGGAGTCTTCTTTACGACCATCCCACCAATGGCCAAGTTTAAGTCTGTCTCTCGCATGGTTGTATGCATGAATGGCCGGCCGCCATTCTCCACCTGAGCCCACCTGAGAAACATTCCTGTTTTTCCCAGAGACAACTGTACTACATACCGCGCTACACCGAGGTATAATCAGCGATTATTATGATAGCCGTATGAAAAGGCAAAAAACTCTAAAGTTGTGGGCGAAGGCCGAGGCGCCTCCCCGCCAAGTAGCTTCTCGGAAGACGAGGGCAGGCGGTTTGGGTGGTCTGCCAGCTCGTCATAACATATCGAACCGTGGCCATGTGCGAAGGGAGCGGCAGGGGAGGCCCTCGAAAGCACTGGCTACATGCCGGACCGGGGACAATCCAACACTATCTACTTGTAGGCAAAGGGAACGCTCAAGTTGGTTGTTGTAAGTTGTCGAGGGCCTCTCCATGAGCAATATATTAACCAGCGATTTCTCCTCATCTACGGTATCTCTTGTATCTTTTTCTTCCTCACCTCACCCTCTCCATCTCCTCTTATATTAATCCGTTCCTAATACGGCCTCTTGCCCCTTTCACCTGCATTATAAAATATATAAATCCCAAAAGGATTCATTTAATTAATTAATATATATTTCAAGATGCTTCGCAACGCCTTGTATCTCGCAGCGGCCCTTTCCGCTATTGCAGCTCCAGCTGCCGCTCAGGCACACGGTGAAGGAGAGCAGGGCTCTTCCATGGGACCAGTTGCTTTCCTCTGGCCCGCAGATCGTCCATGGTCCGCCTCTGAAGACAACAAGGCTCCTTGCGGTTCCGCCAGCGGCCCAACTACCCGAGCTAACTTCCCACTTGGTGAGAATGCCTGATCTAGAATCAAAATTGTGTAAGAATATTCAACTAATCTGCTGGGATGTCCAGTTGGTGGAGCTGTCGCTCTTTCCATCGCCGACGATGCATGGAACGTAGTTTTCCGTATTGCCTACGGAAACAGTAAGTTACACTTGTGCGACTTATCACTTCGATCGCAAGCATCCTAAAAATGAGTGAATAGACCCAACCACCCAGAGTGCCTTCAGAACTTTCGTCCCAGCAACAGTTGATGCGATCGAGCCTGGCCACCAGTGCTACAAGGCACCAACACTCTCCGCCTCTGAGGGAACCAATGCCACCATCCAGATGGAGTACTGGTCCAACGACTCTGGCAAGGACGAGTCTTTCTTCGCCTGTGCCGATATCGTACGTGAATTTGAAATTGAAATCCCTCATTACCCTGTTGCAGTTCACTAATATGAAATAGACTCTCGTTGGTGCTACCGCATTCACCGACACCATCCCATGCTTCAACGTTACCGCCTCTGAGTTCGAGGCCCCACAGTCAACTGAGACTGTCATCCAGGTCACTCCAGAGCAGAGCACATCTTCCGACAACGGTCTTTCCACTGGCGCAAAGGCTGGAATCGCTGTTGGTTCCATCCTCGGTGCCTCTGCCATCATTGGTGTCGCTGTTTTCTTCGCCTTCCGCAAGCGCTCCAAGCCAGCTGACAGCGAGGCTACTCCATACATGAGCCAGACCAAGGGCGCTCAGTCCGTTGAGTCCGTCCCAGCTGCTGCTCGTCAGTAAACAATTTCACATCTATCAACTTCCCTTATTTTCCTATATCTCATCTTGATATACCCAAATACTTTGAAGAGTAAATAATC